ACAATACGCTCCACTGTTTTTTTAGCGTAACACAAATTTATTTTATATACTGACGATTATAACAGATATGATGTATGATAATGATAATTAACCTTCCATTAGCAGATGCCGCTTTAGGTATTTGATCAGTGTCACAAAAATAATCAAGAAAAACATTTATTCCATCACTTTTCTCGGAACATATTTTGTGTTGATATACTCAATGCAGAAACTATTTGTTAATAATAGAAAAAAATGTTTAAACCAACAACAACGCTAGTCAAATATTTATATAAAGTGACTGTATATACGTATACAGAGTGGGGCATTTAAAACAGATCGTTTGTCTTCATCGATAGAAGGAGAAGTTTCAAACAAAAGTTGCTTGGTAACAAAGAGCACATAATATGTGATAATAATTTTATGACGGGTGGCGGCGTGGAGGACATACGAAGGTCAAACATATTTTGTTAAAGAGAATGGCACACTTTTTATTCCAAAATCTAATTCTACGTAAAAAAGGGAGTAACATTTGTCTGAAGCATTTTTTATGGGAGCTTTAATTTTTATAACACCGAGGAAGACAAATACAACATTGTCGATGTTTGATTAACACTTTTGTTAACATACTTACACCAACTTTGTTAACGAAGATGTTCAAGTTTGCATCCATGTCCTTCGGTATCATAACATTTTGTTTCTATTGTTAAAGACAAACGAGTTATTCGTGTGATCTGTTTTAGGTGTCCCACCCTGAGGAAGTAAATAATTATAGGTGACAATTTTAGTACAGGTATAGAACACCGTAAACAATATTGATGCGCTATGTCATTGGGAAGATAATGAGCAAGCAACGGAGGTAACTCAGTAATTATTCTGTAATTATCGGTACTGCAATTAAAATACAATTGGACATTAAAACACTTTTAATCGTACTCATCGAAGAGAAACAAGTGCCATGCTTCAATATTCAGGCAACAGTTATTTTTGTAATAACTTTTAAATATTCTAATATCGATTTTATTCAAATCATGCAATACTAACACCTAAATGGTCTTGAAAATGAGCTGATCTAAACAATAAATATCCTATCTCTTACCAGCAAAATGTGCTACAAAAGAATTGTCAATTTTTCAACAGGAAATTGTCCTATCTAATCGTATATTTTGTACGCTTATGCCACCATACAGTGTGTCTGAATCATTTGAGAACGTTTTTACATTTTGTAAAGATTAATGACGTAAAACAATTGTTTAATTTCATACGTTTATTTCATGGATTTTTATTTAACTTTCGTTAGTATTCATTTTATCACACCGCTTATATGGTATTTCCATTGAACAGGAGATCGTTAATTAATCCGATCAATAGAAGAAATCTCTTGTCCGAATAAAACGTCCATATTTTTGACTGCGCGGACAATTCAAACAAACTGTAAACTTTGATCATTTGCACTTACAGAAACTGACGTACGAGTTCTGTTCAGAATCCAAACGAACTTTTTAAATTACACGTTGATATCTCGTTTAGTTTTCGTGATATTGCTGTTTGAGTGCAACGTGTTTAAGTAGTAGTAGCGGCTATTTGTAATTTTCTGAAGCAACAACACAACGTAAAATTTTGGAAAAACTTTCAACTTTTGAAACTAGCTCACAGAGATGATGCTCTGGGTCGTACGCAATGTTACGTGAAAAAATCCACATAAATAGAACAGAGTTGTGACAAGACAACTGATGGTTTCTGCAACGCGACCATGCGTATGCCCACTCAACTTTGTCAATTCGTGAGTTTTGTGCCAAAAATCAGATGACTGTCTGCCTCCTTACTCGCCAGATCTGGCTCCGTTTAATTTTTTCTTATCTCCGAAATTAAAATCAGTGCTAAAAGGACGCCGTTTTCAGACTGTTGATGACATCGAAGCAAATTCGTTACATACCTTACAAGCCATTTCAAATGAAAATACCGCTATCTAATCTGTAAAATTCGTAATAAAGTTTATAACAATAAAGTTCGGTTATTTTCTAAACAGAGCTCGTACAACGAAAATTGATGGACCTACTAGACAGAATATTGTAAGTTCTATCAGGATCTAAATATGAACGAAAAATCTGATTAAAGTTCACTAAACTTCTTATGTTTGTATAATGTTTAGTTTAATGGTAAGTACATATCAATTAGCTTTGAATGTTGAAATTCTTACCCAGAAACGAACGATATGTTCTCCGCAACGTTTCTAAAAACCGTATTCGTTAATCGATCATGTTAATAGTCTTGGGTAGTGCGATATTTTGGCAATTTAGCAAACCATAATTCGATTCGATCTGATAATGTTCTCAAAGTGTTACACAAAGTGTAACTGCATTTTCTGCCACGTTACCGTGTTGTAAAAATTGCTTACGTCGATAGACTACGCAAATAATCCATAATTAATGATAATTGAAGTTTCTTACTATTACAGACACACAACTTAAAAATTCAAAAGATTTTGGAATCGTGGATACGAGTAAAGCATATCGTCTATGATACAACTCAATTTTCTTTTTGTGGTTCATTGAAATTTTCTTAATAAGGCGGTGCAGCGATAGAAACGACACAGCTTTTTGTTTAGACTTCTATTTAAAAGATAGCCTTGATCTTGCTTGAACTACTTCACGATAGAGAAAATTATTGCACTCCGTATCGAACGGTGTGGTTTAATCGTGCTCGCAATCTCAAGTGTGTTTTTAACTTTTTCCATATTTGAAGTGAAAAACATCTTGAAGGAATGTGAATGATAGACCGCGTCAGTGAAGACTTCAACTTTATAAAATAAGTCCGTGTCTATTGTTTCACGAACACTTTAAATAGTTGTAATATAATTATTCGAAAATTGAGAATTTATAGTTCGAATGCTCCTGTCTTATACGGTCCGCTACAAAAATATTGAGACATTTTAAAACTGAATATTATTTTAAAATTGGACCTAGCAACTGGAATTTTTGTTTAGATGATAGAAGATTTCTCTCAGTTTGTTGTGACAATAGAGACATATAAGATACAACGTCGAACGTTACAATTTTTATTAACTAATATTTTGCAAAAGAACATCACAATGTCTATGACGAGCGTCATAGAAACAAAATACAAATGCAAATAGTTAGTTTATAATCTTATATTATCCCCGATTTCTGGCAATTCTGCATTTTCTGACTTTCTCACGTAGCAATAAACGCGTCTGGTTATCGCGTCGCAAGCAGCGTTTACAGGGAAATAAGTCATTGAAGGAGTTGGGTAGGTGACATACGCGCTGGGACGCCACGTCTACCGGGTGAACATTATAAATCTGAAGTTGTAGAGCTTCCAAATGGCTTTGCATTCCACCTGCTAGACACGCCACGCCGTTTATTGTTCGACGTTGTATTTTGTATTGAAATTTTCTGTGATATTTTAAATAAATTAATAATTAATGACACTATAAAAATGTAAAACACGATATTCTACATAAAAAAAGCAACAAGAAAACTAAAAGAAAAAAAGAGGAAAGAAAAAAAAATAGAGATAATACTAAAAATATTCTTCCATGGGAGAATTCGAACATTCGCTACTGCACCATTCTACAACTTCAAGAAAAGAAGTACATATGTACATCTGTGATAGAAGATTAAAAATATTAAATATTTCTTTCTGCAAATAATGAGTATTGACGGAAATGCTCGCGCATAGCCAAATTATGTTTGCTTTAGAATCGACAGACCAAATTTCGCATAAATCAGCGACCCAACAGATGTGACCTCTCCTTGTTAGACTAACGTTCTAGATTCTAGATTCTAAACGAACGATGACGGACACATGAGGTCATGCTTTTAAAACTTTACATGACGTCGAAATAGTAGAAAAATGTATGCATTAAGAAGATACAATTAGACAAGACAAAATTCAAGAAGAACAAGGGCCAGTGATAGAAAACAGAAATAGAACAAACAAAAAATATCGATCAGGAGTTGATTCTGAAACCTACAGACGCAATCGATGATAATAGAATATGCAATCCGCATCCGTTACACTGCTTATGGAACTGTGTTAACCGGAAATCCGATTGAATGTGGCGCCTTCGATCTATCTTTGTAGATACTAATATTTACTATCATTTGTTCCCGTTATTTGTTGTATGAATTGAATCGTAGCGCAAAATATAACATTATCTTATGCTTTCTAAAACGCCATTCTATTAGATGAAATAAACACAATCGGAATCAAACATAACCGACTTAAAGTGTTTAAACAACTTCAAGAAATTTAAACTCATATAATCTTTGAATAAAATTAATTGATCTGACCCGTGGCATTTTATTTCAATTACCAATGTTTAATATTTCGTTTTCTCAAATTTTTGCTTTCCTGTCATTTTGAATCGCATATTAACGAATAATCGAAATGTATATTTTGGTACAAAATAAAAAATGAATTTACTATTATATTGCGTCATGAACTTTGTAACTTCACTTTCAAACATTATTTAAGACCTTGATTGTCAATTTATGTGAACGCAAACTCTGATTATTTGAGCGGAAAGTTGTATGCAGTGAGGCCAATCGTTGAATTCCTATTATGTGAACGTCCCAGTTATATGAACTGCTGGCTGATCTCCCAACGAGGTCATATAAACGGAGTTTTACTGTTTATTTTATTGCATATACTGCATTTTATATGCCACTTTGAAGCTAATTTATTACTCGATCTATTCGACTATAATGGTCCTTATTTCTATGAATAAAATTAAGTTTTAACCAAGTAACGACATTTCGAAGTTTCGAACTATTTTTCATTAAAACCTGTAACCATAACTGGGCTGTAGATTTGGTGCAATTATGCCGAAAATGAGCAAATAATATAAAACAATGTAGGATCAAGGAATTTACAGGGTGTCTCAGTAACTCTGTTACAATCGATGAAATGTTTGAGGAACAAATTGTTTGCTTCAAAGTAACACATATTGTGGTGGAAATCGTTTTTTCCGAAAGTCATATTTTTCAAAATTTCGAGGTTATTTAGCTATCGCGATATAATGATAGAAATATGTAATTCTATTTTAAAAAAACATCGATGATCTTGAAATCTCAAAAAATATGGCCTATAAAAAGAAACGATTTCCACTACAACATGTGTTGCTTTGAACCAAACAATTTGTTCCTTAAACATTTTCGCGTATCATTATCGATAACGGAGATATCGCTTTGTAATAGTTACTGAGACACGCTGTACATATGAAAAGTTTTTTGTGAGAAAAATCGGTAGCAGAATCATGTTTATTATTCAAGTTGAAGAGATTGTTCAAAAGACCACATGTTAAAACGATTTTTCAGTTAGAAGAATTAACCGAGAATTTTGTTTTGTTGGCCAATAAGCATTATGGATTACAGAAATTCTATTTCGGTCATTTTAAATAATTTTCGATCAGGAGAATTTGTTCCACTTATTTGTCGCAGTTATCGGCGAGGGAAATTCTGTTTTCTGTTCACTCGTAACAGTTACCAGTGACGGAAACTTTGTATCGATCACCAAACGGATTATCGACGCGAAAAATCGATTTTAATTGTTCATAAAAGATATCGAAAAAAAGTGTATTTTATAATATCGTATCGTACCGAATGGTTTCGCATTCGACCAAAACCATTCTCATTATTCACACCAAAACAGTGTTTTTGTTGCTCTAAGAAACGAAACAATAAGAAGTTACATATTACATACACTGAACTTTGTCAAGGCAAAATTAACGTTCTTAAATTAGCAATGATTTTACAAAAATGCAAAGTAAAAGATCCGTAACTCGGAAACTAAGATTTAATGGAATTACGTATGTTCATATGACATTTTTTACTTATCTTGACATGTACATTTCCCGCGAAGTATTCACATGTATTTATAAAACACCCTGTATAATATATAATCGAAACACAACTTCTACCATCTATAAAAAAAACTATTAGAAGCGACTCGAATATATAGTGTTTCTCTCAACGATAAATGTTACGACACAACTGCAGATTTTATTCCTTCTTTATTATATTGTGGAAACATAAGAAGAATTTAATAATGTTGTTGCAATATTTTCAAGTTATACAATGATTCCTGTTTCTTACAAACGTCTCGGGAAATGTTTATTTTGCATAAAGATTCGTAGCCCAATTAAGACTAACTCAAACTTTCCGTCATCAATAATGATTCTGGATAACTGAAAAAGAATTTCGACCACATACAGTGCCGAACAAAAGTATAGCATATTTTAAAAATAATAATAATAATCATTTTTATTTAATTAACATTACAACCAAGGTTTTATCGTGTTTTCATGTTCTTTTCACGAGAAATCAACTTGTACACGTGCCCGCTTGTGCATACTTTTAGTTAGGGACACCCTGTATTTTTCAGCAGAATAATATCGCAGCACACATTGCGAAAGTAGTAAAAAAACACTTTCCTCGAGAAAAACATTGCTTCTCACATAAGGTCATTTCGTTGAAAATTGGTGCCGAAATCTTAATCGAGCTGTCTATGCAAATGGCAGACAGTTTCGAAACATTGCTGAATGAAAATAATGTATTCAATATGAGTGGGATCAATTAAAACAAAAAAAATATATAAACCTTTGCCGAAGATAATGACACCAAAGCCACAAAATATTAAGCATTAAATATCATTCTTTGATTTATTGCTATACATGATTTTTAGATAAATATGCTATCATTTTGTGTCACTGTATTTCTATAAAAATTCTTTTTTTTTCAAATAAAATTGTTTAAGCTGGCGAAATGCAATTCTACTTCATTTGTGTATGTTTATAGTGGTATTCTGCAAATTTGTATAGAAACAAAATTTTGGTTATGATATTAAATGAATGAAAGTTACGTTAATTTTAAAATGTGCTATCTTTTTGTCTGGCTATACTTTGTATAGCTATTACTTGTAACTAAAAACAATTGCACCAAAATAATAATTGTTATACAACGGCTCGTTTCACATTGCATGTAGAATTCGAATATAAATGAAAATAACATCTTCACTCCATATTTGCACGAGTCGCAAGTGTTCCGTCTTCGATCCTCTCGGTCCTCTTTACACATAATGTATACTGAATATCACAGAATAGAGTACAGCTACTACAATAGAAGCAGTAAAAGTATCGAAAGAATTTAATAATATTGTTAGTTTATTTCATTAAAATTCGCTTATATAAAGTTATGTATTAACAAAATTATAAATTTAGTAATTATTTATTTTGTCAATTTTGGACATGTTTAAAATTGAATTGTTGAGTAGGTGGGACATGTAACATAAATCCTAATCTAACCCTCACCCGCTTTTAGTTTAGATATTTTTAAGAATTTTTACCTTGACAACATATTTCGAAGTCGTAATCCCGCTTGAAAATAATTACACTAACAAATCAAAAATTGGTTTGAATTAGATTATAGCTTCAACCGGTCACCTTTTGAACTATAAATAAATACTATTTAAAAAAGAAAGAGATACGATCCGTTATACTTATTAATGGAAAATCCTATCGAACGAACTGATCGTTATTTTATTAATTTCTTAATTATTGCCTATTAATTTTTTATGGTATAATAATTTCGTCTTACTGTAATACTAAATTGCCAAAATATCACACTGTGTCCCGCAAAAATACAGTGAATAAACAAAATTATTGGTACACATAGTTCTTTTTGTAATAATGTCAATATAAAATAATAATACCAGCTCATAAGGCAGCCTACATTATAGAATGATTTTTAAAAAAGTTTTTTTAGTTCTGTTGCTGAATACAAAGTGAGTCATGAGAAACAGATCGTTTCAGTTTCTCTGTGTTGCTTTAAAGGATTATGGAAAGTTGCAAAAGTGAAATGAAACCGTTCAAAGAAATCACAATCCTGATCAATGGATTTTTCGAAGTTATTTAAAGATCATCGATATCTTTTTTAAATACTCTCATTTTTTTTAAATAATCTCATTACACGTAAGCTACTGACAAGGCAAGTACAACGATCTATTACACTGTGACCTTCAAATGACCTCTAGAAATTAAAATGAAATGACAACATTTACTTGATTAAAAAGTTCAAAGAGGCGAGGTGGCCTTCATATACATATAACTATACATGCCTGAAAACGTTAAAACGTCTCCTTCGATTGTTTCAGGTGAGATAATTGCCTATACCGTTCCTCTAAAAAACACCGATCACTTTCATAACACACAGAAATCGAATACATCGTTTCTTCTTTGAAATAGCGTATTTTGAAGCGTATGTCCATCATTTTAAGGTCATAGCGTCTCAGGTCATTGAACTCGACTCAGCATTCGCCGTCGAATAATTAGATTACAAGTGCACAGTAACGTTAAAAAAAACAGCGATCGCCTTCCGTTAATCGGAACACCTGGAGGTGACATCGCAACCGTTACTATGAATGCAGATAATTTCAATTCAATTTTGCAACTTCCTTTATCCTTGCCAACGGAGAAATTCAAGTGTTCTGTTTTTTGTGACTCACCTTGTATATTACCTGGTAATAAGAAACGACACTGTGGCGTTCGAGAAATTGACATATTTTTTATTTACATTATAACAGAAATACTGAGATTGTGAACATTTGTTTGATCCACTGTACTTAGGTACAATACAAGGGAAGCTTCCTAGATGATCTACCAAGTGAAATGTCTAATAAGTGAAACGAGTGTTATTCCCTCAGTCCCGTGGGTTTCAAACATTGTTGTTATCTATCCTAATCGAAACTACGATCAACTGTAGCCATAAACTTGGCAACCACGGTCATAAATACACGCACAAGATGTTTAAAATATTCGATACTTATGTATATACTATTGGGAAAATAAAACAAGAAACTCTATACACAAGCTAAATGACGCAAGAGGCAAAGGGGACTTACAAGAGGAAGTCCCCAGAGTTGACGCTCACTGTTTGATGAGATTTGATACGGTGATAGAGCTTGTAAAGCTGATCGCGATCTGCGAGGCGCTGCCAGCGTGTCTTTCTGGCCTTCTATTAGCAGCTTTAACATTATTTATCTCAGAAACTATAAACCGTTTTCCGCCAAAACCGGGTATCATTGGCTTCAGTTTTACAAACTCTATCACTGTTCCAAATCTCATCAAAAAGTGAGCGTCAATCTTGGAGTCCCTCCTTTGTTAGCCAATAATGACTCAGAATCTGAAAAATGGGAGGATTCAGGTGACACCCCCTGTCCCTTGTCTCGTTTAGCTTGTGGATAGAGTGCCTTCTCTTAGTTTCCTAATAGTATAATATATTATCTACAATATGGTCCATAAGACATGACAGTGGTGAACATACAGGGTGATCCATTTAACTGGACTCAGTGGAACATTTCGAGAGGGCTTAAAGTTATTAAAAAGATGTTCTGAGAAAAGTTGTTTGGTATAGAGGGGGTCGCTAGATGGTGTAAACAATATTCCTATAGGTGTAGTTGTGGGGAAGATACTGAAGTAAAATTAATATTTTAAAATGGCACCCTGTATTTTTTTATCCTCAATATAACAACGTTTGTTAAGATGAATACAATGACCTACCACATAATATCATTCCATGTAACAAAATTACATAAACGAAATGCATGCGACACAGATGAACGCAAGTCGTTAGCCGAACTTTACGTGACTGTATCAGCTCTAGCCATATCGGATAACGCCAATTCGACTGTGCACTATAAACAAATCTCGAATTTTAGATTTCATAGTGCCATCAATAAGTCAAGAAATCAGTCATATGGAAAGAGCCGCTTAAAAGCGTCGTATCTACTCTGTATTTTTAATTATTTTTAGTAGTAATCCGTTCATCGAACTCGTATGCATTTAAGTCATTTTACTACATAGAATGATACCATGTGGTAGGTCATTGTATTCATCTCAACAAACGTTGTTATATTGTGGATAAAAAAATACATAGTGCCATTTTAAAATATTAATTTTACTTCAGTATCTTCCCCACAACTACACCTATAGAAATATTGTTTATATCGTTTTTTGAACGACTTTTGTGAGAACATGTTTTTGATAACTTTAATCCTTCGCAAAATATATCACCGAGCCCAGTTAAACGAATCACCCTGTAGATCGAGAGTTCGATCTCTTTCTGGAGATATAAACTTTTGCTTGTGTTATCATCATGATTGAGTTACTACTAGTTTATCACCAAATAGATCTCCATTCACCTGTAACAATAATTACAGTGGACCGATCACTGACGAAATTGCATTGCATTTGTTGCAAAATTAAATTTCACCTTGAAAATAAGAACTGTTTCTTATTTACACAAATTACCTTATTTATTTACGAAAATTTATGTAACCGTAAATTTTATATTTACAACGAACAACATTTTTTTATGCTGATTTTCGGAGCTGTGTACGGTTGACTTCGAGGTTTAAACATTGGTCTATTTTAGTCGATATCAAATTACCGAAGCGAATGTCACTCATTTCAGTTATTAGGAGGTAGACTATCGTAACTTCTAGCCATTGTTTTTTTTCCAACGCTAATAGACTAATTAATGCTCATCTGGAGAACTTCTTTTGTTAGATTGACAGTGCGGAGTAAAAATATTTCTCTTGGAAGCGACTCGGCAGGCGTAAACACGCGCGGCCGTCGAACATACCACTTTCATTTACGTTCCAGGAAATTCAGTTTCCTTTACTCGTGCCTTTCGATCGTGTAATTCAGAGAAAACGATACATACCTGTTCGACTTTGGCGTAACGATGTCTCTGGTTTCGGACGTGTATTTCCTTTCAGCGCGACCACCGTTGAAAAGCTCAACGGTCTCCCTGGTTACCGTTTCGAGAAGAGGCTCGCCGCCCCTTCTTCCCTTGCTGAAGGTCCTTTGATCCGTTTTACGGACCATAACCACCCTCGACAGGGGTTGATTGAATTCGTGGCCGTGCATTGTTGGCGGGATCATCGCTAACGACTGCGAGAGGGGTCCTCCGACTCGCGGGGACCTGAAACAAATCGTTTCCATTACTGCTTCGACCGATCATCCGTGTTGCAGACTTTCAACTTTTATCTCAAGCTATTTAACTTCACTCGAGCTCCTGACCAAAATTAACACGTTAAATGCCACGCCGGTTTTACAGAAATTATCCGTGGCGCCTCGATGAATTTTCTTTTATGTGATACATACAATGTTGAAATATTATCTGCAATAGATAAGTTACAGTGTATAACCATGTTTGACATGTTAATTGCGACAGGAGTCACTGTTTGAATTGACGATGGTAATAATACAAAATTTTGGATATTGACATTTGTTTTAAATTATATATATTCCTATCAATTTTGGGCACGCCGGACACCGGTGGCCCCCATGGCGTCACCGCCAAGTTAGGTGCCGGTCACCGGTGACCCCCGCGGCATTCAACGTGTTCACTCCAGCTTCTGACCAAAATTAAATTTCTCAACTGGAACGTCACCTTCGTCCGGCCGTTAATTTTACAGCCTGATTTTTCTCTTGCGCGACACTAATTCTACCAACGATCGTCGGGTCGCAGGAAGAATTCGAGAAACCGTATACTAAAATAAACAAGAGCGATAGGCAAGTTCGGGTCCTGGATTATTGCTCTGGTGACGTTGCGCAATTAGGGTACGGTTACCGGAGATNGAACAACATTTTTTTATGCTGATTTTCGGAGCTGTGTACGGTTGACTTCGAGGTTTAAACATTGGTCTATTTTAGTCGATATCAAATTACCGAAGCGAATGTCACTCATTTCAGTTATTAGGAGGTAGACTATCGTAACTTCTAGCCATTGTTTTTTTTCCAACGCTAATAGACTAATTAATGCTCATCTGGAGAACTTCTTTTGTTAGATTGACAGTGCGGAGTAAAAATATTTCTCTTGGAAGCGACTCGGCAGGCGTAAACACGCGCGGCCGTCGAACATACCACTTTCATTTACGTTCCAGGAAATTCAGTTTCCTTTACTCGTGCCTTTCGATCGTGTAATTCAGAGAAAACGATACATACCTGTTCGACTTTGGCGTAACGATGTCTCTGGTTTCGGACGTGTATTTCCTTTCAGCGCGACCACCGTTGAAAAGCTCAACGGTCTCCCTGGTTACCGTTTCGAGAAGAGGCTCGCCGCCCCTTCTTCCCTTGCTGAAGGTCCTTTGATCCGTTTTACGGACCATAACCACCCTCGACAGGGGTTGATTGAATTCGTGGCCGTGCATTGTTGGCGGGATCATCGCTAACGACTGCGAGAGGGGTCCTCCGACTCGCGGGGACCTGAAACAAATCGTTTCCATTACTGCTTCGACCGATCATCCGTGTTGCAGACTTTCAACTTTTATCTCAAGCTATTTAACTTCACTCGAGCTCCTGACCAAAATTAACACGTTAAATGCCACGCCGGTTTTACAGAAATTATCCGTGGCGCCTCGATGAATTTTCTTTTATGTGATACATACAATGTTGAAATATTATCTGCAATAGATAAGTTACAGTGTATAACCATGTTTGACATGTTAATTGCGACAGGAGTCACTGTTTGAATTGACGATGGTAATAATACAAAATTTTGGATATTGACATTTGTTTTAAATTATATATATTCCTATCAATTTTGGGCACGCCGGACACCGGTGGCCCCCATGGCGTCACCGCCAAGTTAGGTGCCGGTCACCGGTGACCCCCGCGGCATTCAACGTGTTCACTCCAGCTTCTGACCAAAATTAAATTTCTCAACTGGAACGTCACCTTCGTCCGGCCGTTAATTTTACAGCCTGATTTTTCTCTTGCGCGACACTAATTCTACCAACGATCGTCGGGTCGCAGGAAGAATTCGAGAAACCGTATACTAAAATAAACAAGAGCGATAGGCAAGTTCGGGTCCTGGATTATTGCTCTGGTGACGTTGCGCAATTAGGGTACGGTTACCGGAGATAAGGCCGAGAATCAGGGATTCCAGCTTTCACCCCAAAATGGCGGATGGACTCCACGGTGGGGATACGATGCGATCAAAGTCCACGTTACATGGCACGTACCGCGTGTGAGAGAAACATTGGACCTGAAGGACTCGGCATAAACTGGACTTTTAGATGCGGGGTGTGAAGCGAACGCGAAAGGAGGGGTCAATACGTCGGCCACATTGATGGGAGCAACTAAGTAGTGCTGTCATCTGTCGTCAAATCGTGACTGTAATTTCGTTGCAACTAGTGCTACCGCCACCATTCCTTCACATTTGATGCAGTGTATTTGCTTTATTATTTTTATACCATATTGCCGCGACAAAAAGGTGGCACATTTTAAAAACAAGTAATTTTTATTTATTTAGCACTACAACCAAGCTTTTGTTTTTATACAAACTTGCAAAACATCACTATAGATATGCACAAATAAAATAGAATTAAATTATGCCAGTTCAAACAATTTTATTTGAAATAGAAAAATTTATATGAGAGCATGGTGCGACGTAAAATTATGTATAGGAATCTCTTGTACGGAATCTCCCGGTGCCTACTTGAACATACTTTCAGGGATACCCTGTATTTTTTAGCAGAATAATATGTACCTCGTAACGGCGTTAGAAAACAAACCCGGCACTGAAATCACATCAAAGGAAAACTTGTAAATTGATACAGGGTGGTCCACGCAACTTGTGCACCTCTACAACTTCCAAAATATGTGTTGCACGAAAAAATTTTGTATACAAAAGTTGCATGGTTTAAAGGGGTACATTATGCAGTGCATTAATTTTTTTATAGGTGGAAGTGTTTCAGAAATTTGAAAGTCGATTTTGTTTTTTTAAGTAGAATACTATATTTTTCATATCATAATATGGAAGAATATCGAATTCTGAGCAAAAAAGTATTGACCTCCGTTAGCCCTAAACCTAATAGCTAACGGATAATTTCGCTTTGTTTTTTTTGAAAATTTTCTTCACGTAATATTAAGTTGGAGATTCAACCTTATCACAGACTTTCGCAGGTCAGTGGAAACTGAAGAAAATTTTCAAAAAACGAGAGTAAGAAGCTTTTTTAATCAGAATTTGATATTCTTCCATATTTTGATGTACAAGATATAGTATTATATTTAAAAAGAGAAAAAACAAAATTGACCTTCAAATCTCCGAAACGCCTCCACCTATAAAAAAAAATAAATGCACTACATAATGTACCCCTTTAAATTATACAACTTTTCTATACAAAATTTTTTCGTGCAATGCATATTTTGGAAGTTATAGAGGTGTACAAGTTGTGTGAATCACCCTGTATAAAATAAGAAGGTAATGCACAAGCGAAGAAAACTTGTTATTTTTGCAAGAAATCAGGACATTTCAAAAGTAATTGCATGAAACAATAGGTATGGAAAGATAAGGAAGAAAAATCCAATGAAGTTACGGTGGATAATTCTTCGAACGACTATTATTTTTACGCAATCTCTGTGGAAATCGAATAAGCATGTTTGATGTAAAGAATACAAACAAAGAGAATTCATGGAGTCAAGCGTTTCAATTCGGAAAAGATGGGTTGTGTGGATTTAGAAGACAAAGAGTAGTATATTTTGTCATAGAAGGTGACGATTGCATGATAATAAAGGATAAGAGAAGCTAAAAGTTACAGCGAAGTTGTTTCAAAATTTATTTAAAATGATGACAGCTGAAAAGGTTTGTGCAGTGAGCAACATCGGAAATACGGGTCATACAGAAATATGTCAACATGAATGGCACTGATGATTTTGGCATCGCGATCTAACTGCAATAAAGGATTCGGATGAGAAAGGATTAGTAACCGGTATTAAAATTAAAGACTGCGGACAGCGAGTGACATGCGAGTGTTGTGTCAAGGGTAAAATGATACGGATACCGTTTCCGAATGAGTCAACTAACTAAGAAGAGTAGTTCGATTTTAGATCTCATTTGCACGAATGTTTGTACACCCATGCAAACACTAACACCAGGCAATGAAAGATATATGTATCCTAATATTAGGTCTACCGGAAAGTTCTGTCCGTTTTTGAATTGAAATATAACACAATTTTCATACATTTAATAATATTTATTGTAGAATATACTTTCCATCGTTACTTAAGACTTCTTGCCAGCGTGATGGCAACTTGTAAATGCCATTTTTAAAAAATGATTTATTTTTAGAGGCGAAGAACTCAACTAGTGCTTGGTTGACACCAGCTTCAGTTTTGAATTTTTTTCCTGTAAAAAGTTTTGCAAAGAGAGAAACAAGTGATAATCAGAGGGTGCTAGGTCTGGAGAGTATGGTGAATGTGACAGAATTTCCCAGCCTAGCTCTGCGATTTTCTGACGAGTCGTCAAAACAGCATGTGATCTGGTATTATCATCGGTAGCCATGTTTTCACGATCGCGTCTCACTTAATAATGACATGAGACATCTTTGTTTCAGTTTATTTAGGAGAGTACATGTGTGTAAATGCAATGATAAAGAGAGATAGTCATATATGTCTCAAATCAACATGTGCATATGGATTGAAACTTGAAGTGACACTATCGGACAGAACTTTCCGGTAGACCTAATAGTTATCGACGATTTTTCACGGTATACCAAGAATTTACCTTGTGGGTCACAAAGATAAAGCGGTTGCATGTATTCAACAATTTGTAGTAAGTGATGAAACGCAGCATCAAAAATGGCCGAAAGTACATAACAAGATCAGCAGATCGAGGAAGGAACAGATTTCCCGTTTAGCCTCCTTCCCGTAACCCCCCTAGGAAATTAGCCTCCTATTTCTCGCAGCAAAACGGCGTCGCAGAACGGAAAAATAGATCACTTATGGAAATAGCACGAGACATGCTCCTAGACGCAGAAATGCAGAAAAAATATTGGGGCGAGGCAGTAAATACTGGAAATTATTTGTGGAACAGATTATCGGCGACAGCTAAGACACCATATGAATTATAGTGTTCCAGATTACCAAATGTTGGAAACTTACATATCTTTGGTTGCAACGCGTATATGCATGTTCCGAGGGAACAAAGGAAGAAATTGGACAACGAAGCTGAAAGATTTACAATCGTCGGCTATTCGGAAGAATCAAAAGTATTTCGATTGTTAGACATTAAGACAAATCGAATTGGAATTAGTCCCGACATGATTTTTCCCGATAAGGATAATAAAGCCGAATCAACTCGTGCGGAACACGATGAGATCATACTCCCCAGTACAAAATTTCAGGAATGTAATCAGGACATTAGGGAAAGTTCAGAGGAGGCACTAGACATCGCTAATGTACCTGGAGAAGAATTCAACTCTGATGAAGATGTTTTTTTCAATGAAGCATCTAGCAACTACACGGACCAATCAGGAGAGAAAGATAGAAGGCCTGAACCATGCAGACGCTCGAAAAGCTCTAACAGAGGCGTGCCACCAATCAGATACGGTGATTCCTTCGTACATGGTTACGGGTGAAGAAAATAAACCACGAAACGCAGCGGAAGTATTAGCAGGGCCCAATGACTAGTAGAAGAGAGCCATGATCGAAGAAATCGCTTCTCTAAAGAAAAAGCGGTATATAGGGAAATTGTTCCTATGTCGAAGGATGAAAACGTCGTAACTTATAAATGGGTTTATAAATTAAAACGAAATGTTGATGGCAATACAGAAAGGTGTAAAGCTAGGCTTGTTTGTTCGGGGATTTTCGCAAAAGTATGGCACAGATTATGACGAGGTGTTTGCACCAGGCAACTTTCAGAACTTTCTTAACTTTAGTTGGTCAAAAGAATATGTCTGTTAAACATCTTGACGTAAAAACAGAAGATTCTTAAACGGAAGATTAACGAAGACTACTTGCATGCAGCAACCTGATGAGTATGTAGTACACGATAAAGAAGATTTGGATTTTATGGATCTATGGATCGAAACAGGTGGCAAAAGTATGGAATAATCAATTGAATAACATTTTAAAGAATTACGGTTTTAGAAAAAGTGGAACATACCCGTGTATGTATAATGGAGAAGAAGTCTATCTTGTGGTCTATGTGGACGATATTCTAACGAGTTCAAAGAAATTAAACAAGATCGATGAAGTAGCTGATTTTCTAAAAAGACATTTTCACCTGAATGATCTTGGATTATTAAGGCACTACTTTGGCATAGAGATCAGAAGAAACAACGAAGGATTTTGTGTAGATTTGATTTGCAGGATGAAAAGACTTCTGGTGTTCCATTAGATCCAGGATATGCAAAGTGTAAATGCAAATGTAATCACCACAGTGTAAAATACTAAATACTAACAGTTAATCGGGGTACTACTAT